TGTGCTGTGTCGATTGTAATTTCTAATTGGCGCAATATGTGTATTTACTTTGGTGACGAAATCAATAAACTAAACTAAACTAAATAGATTTATGGTTCAGGAACTTCCTTGTGATAAAGCGGTTTCATTCACTCCTACTGGATATWAATCTATAGTGCTATAGTTTTCATTCTACCATTCGACATTAGTGATAAGATTTGTGGTCACTGGTTAAATAGTCTTTTGAAGATCGATTAAACCAAAATGATACTGGTTGGAATATTAATTCAGGAAGTAAAAGATATTTCCCAAAGAAAATGAGAAAGTCTTTTTTTAATTTGAATTTTAATTAACAGTTTGGTCATCTGTCGAAGACTGAATATAAGTTTGATACTGTGATTGACTGTCAGAATTTTAGTTATAATAATAAGCATTCTCGCATGCAACACTATAGCACATGCAATCGATCTCTCTATAGCTTGGCAAGATAAAAAATACTTTCTTAGCACCATATTTTTTACTTTAATCCAAGATTATGCAATAAGTTTGGTATTCAAGACTCTGCAAGTATTCGACGTCTTTGCATGTGTGTCAGCATGTCTCAGGGAACCCAGATGTCAATCAGTCAACTTTGGTACCTCAGGACATCCCAAACACCTTTGCGAGCTCAGTCACAAAAAACTGGAATGCAGTCCAGCCTATAAAGAGCCCAGACCAGGGTTTATTCATTATTTTCCTGCTAAGGTAACATTAAAAATCATACACCGGAAACTCAGTAAAAATCTTTTTGTTTTAATCAAAGACTGTTGCAATTTTTTCTCTCGCTTTATCCTTCTTTTTTTTACAGGACGACGAGCCGTGCAACAAAGCGCCATGTAAGAACGGAGCGACTTGCGAACCACTGTGTGACGATCCAGGCTTTCGATGTAAATGTGGGGCATTCAACACAGGTCAATATTGCCAGTTATGGACAGGTAAATGTTATTCCATTGTTGACTGTATTTAATTATCTAGACAGATTTTAATTTTCTAGTTTGCTGAAGTCAAGTCCTGTCACGTTTGAAAAAATTATTATAAAATAATAAGAATGACAATGTAATTCAGCTGGTCACTAAATATCCTGGGTAAGTCAGAAAAGTGTCTGACGTCGTGAATATTTCATGTTATGACTCTCTAGTTCAAAGAATAGGTCATCATTTTTTTTTGCAGGGCCGTAACCAGGGGGGAGCACGGGGTGCACATGCACCCCCCCCCCCCTCATAAAAGCTTAAGCTCCGCTCATCCATCTCCTTTTTATTTGGTTCTGCTTTTTTTTTTTTTTTTTTTTTTTTTTTTTTTTTTTTTTTTTGGTTACCTTTTTTTTTTTTGGTTCTGCAAATCATTGCCTGTGCACCTCTCTGCAAGATCCCTGGTTACGCCACTGCGTTGGTAATAAAAACCGATCAATGGTCCGATTTTATTCGATGTGCACCCCCTGTAAAAGTGTTCTGGTTACGGCCCTGGTTTGGTACAGGAAAATATTGAAAGTTTGATTATTGGCGGCTATTCTTGAATGTTATAGATTTCAGTAGTGCAAAATAGACACAAGATGTGTATTACTCTAATATCTATTTCACGGGATGTGTATTACTCTAATATCTATTTCACGGGTTTGGTGACTTCTTTCAAGAATGAAGAATTTAGCAATGTAACACGGCTTATGTTTTTTTGCTCTGTAGTTGACGTTTCATCATGTCAAGATATTTTTAACAAAACCAGGTACAGTAATTCACGTTTATCACATAGACTCCAAGATAATGCTAAAAACTTCAATTCTATATAAACAATACTTGACCATTGAAAAGATCAGGAAACTGGAGTGTACTTTTTATTTTACGACGTCATATCCGGTTCTTTGGCTTTTATTTTGCTCGGGTAACTGACAAGGTTCAAGCCACACCCCAATTGAAAAATGGCCAGCTACTATCATAATTCTTAAAATAATACCCCTGAAAAACCTTCTGTTGCAGATATCGTACGGATATGGCCTACACGTACATGATCGACAACAAACAAACAGATATCTATTGTCATTTGTCAAGCGATCTGTGTGAAAGTAGGGGATGGACGCTGGCTATGAAGACTGACGGTTCAAAGGTATACTCTACAAAATAACCGTTTATCATTCCTTTTTCGTATCTCAACTGATTGAAATATTACTCTTCCCGTCTTTCCTGCAGAACACATTCATTTTCTCGTCAGCCTTGTGGTTAGACAAGAACGCATATGGACTATCAGCAGGTAAAACCGGTTTTGACAATCACGAGACCAAGATGCCCAGCTACTGGGCTATGCCTTTCCAGAGCTTGTGTGTTGGTATGAAAGTCGGGAACAACTTGAACTGGGCTCTTATTCCTTATTCAGCTTCTTCCTTGTATGACGCCATTGTTGGAAATCACACTTTCACCATCGGTCGAGGAAAATGGCTGTCTCTGATTGATGGTTCCTCGTTACAGCAAAACTGTAATGCCGAAGGTTTCAATGTTGGAAAAGAGGGTTTGGATTGGGTGTCTGCGCGCATAGGCGTGGTTGGAAATAACCAAAATGATTGTGACACCCCAGATAGTAGCATTGGTTTTGGTATTCGTTTCAGTGGTTTGACGTGTGGAAATCGCTGCAGATTAGAATGTAGTAAGGGAGAGAAATACGTAGTGGCGTTTGGATACATCTTAATCAAGTAAATCATTCCTATTACGTAAGGGCTAACTTACTCAATAATCGTTTGATTATCATGTTAATGGCCTTCCTGTATTATAATAGTCGTATGACGTACGAGAGAGCGGGAAATTGTATGCGCATGCGCTTGCTTTACAAACACTAGAAATGTTCAATAAAACAAAACCTACCTTGGTTAATACATTAAAATATGATCGTTTCCTAAATTTGAAGAAATGAGTTTAAGAATTTGGCACTTTAGAAGCTGATTTTGATATTTGTTTCGAAACTATTAGCATTTTTCAAAGGAATCAGGTGAGCCCGCGATTTTACCCACCACCGCTGACACGCTACGTACAGCAATAACAGTATATATTTTTTACTATTTAGTTTAATCAAATCATTGATTTGTCACAAAGTAATGCATAGATCTGAATTATCAGGGTAAGAATCGAAGGTATTCAAGTAAGATTCAAAATTATCAACAACAAATAAAACACTTTTGGGCTTCGTTTTGCAGTCATTAATTTCAATTTGAAAGGAAAATGAATTGTGTAAATTTAAAATCAAAGTAGAAGCAGTAGCGTAAAGAAGAAGCGGTACGGCCAGAGTAGACAAACTTCGCCTTGTATAAAGATGCATATTTTCATGAAATTCTGCATTTTTTCCACCTCACGATAATAAAAGCTCTTTACAACTAACTGAGAATTCTAACCAATCCTCAGATGGAGTTTCTGCGGTTTTGGCGGGAAAGAAAACGCGCGCGGCTTGTCTTCTTTATCCTCACCTCAGCTCTTACCCAGCTCAGACTTTCCCAACATTTCCCATGCGTGTTTCATATGACGGCTTCTTTTGTGCATTCGTAAATGGCACTAATAATTTCCTTTGGCAACTTTGCTGTTTCTGGGCAGTTTTTTAAGAGTTTTTGGGACCTTTTTGAAGAAAGCAAAGAACAAGCTGGAAAAGATAAATACATGATTTATGAAAAGCCTCGATAAATGAAAGAAAATTCTACTGATATAAAGACTTGTCATATACTAATTTGCTTTCATATTAAGATCTACCTGGTGACTTAGAGAATCAGGGTCTTATACAAAAGACAAAAGTCAACATTCTTTTCACTAACGGCTTGTCGAGGACGTAAAACACACAGATTCATTTACCTACTCATTAGCGCGCAAAGAGCCTATGTGACAATTCTAAAGAC